TGCTTGTGCGCGTTCGTGTCCAGGTGCGGCACTACAGCCCCACTCGCTGGGTGTCAACAGATGCTGAAGCCTATTTCATGGGAGTGGGTGCGGCCATGGCTTTCAGGAGACTCTTCCAGTATATTACCGGAAGCAACGAAGGAGGTAAGAAGTCGACATACAGAAGGTCAAATTAAGCTTTGATGAAGTGCATCAGTGTTTGGAATGATGATGACGGTGGTCATTCAGGTGTCCAGATGGACATGACCGCTCCTGTCCTGGTCAAGATCCCAGAGAAGACCAAGATGTGGGAGCCTGCTATCTACACGCTCAACTTCCCACTGCCGTCAGCCTATCAGGACAACCCTCCAGCACCCACTAATGACAAGGTGAGCCCTCGAATTGCCCTTGCCTCTACTGAGGTCAAACGCTCTTTATCCTGCCGGTAACTGTGTAATTCAATCAGTGATTTTCAGCTTTCAGATCAATAGAGATCATTGACGGGTGCACGGTACTTAGTGCGGCTGGCCCTGCTGCTGCTCTCACTCAGCAGAATAGAAATGCATAGTGCTGAGTCAGCAAGGCACCAGTGCTCTCTGTGTTTTCTGATTCTTAACAGACGAATCGGCCAATCACATGGCAGGAACTCATGCGTGTAAGCATGTAGAGATGGCATCCGAATTTAAGTGAGCCAGACTACTTCAAGCTGACAGGAAGGCAACAGTAACTTAAACAACCGCTTGTTACAATCAAGGTTTTCAGAAGAGCATCTCTGAATGTACGTCACACTGGATCTTGAAGCAGATGCGCTATAGCAACACAAGACCACACCTGAAGTGCCATTCCTGTCAGCTAACAAACGGACACTGATCTGATCTCTGATCTGATGAGTCTCGATTTCTGCTGTAACATTCAGATGTTTGTTGTAAAAAACACGAACACATGGATCCATCCCCCCCTGTGTCAGTGGTTTAGGGTGGTGGTTAAGTGTGGGGGATATTTCTGTGCCGCAAAGAATTGGGGCGCAGTATAAGCAAGGTGTACCTACTAAAGCTTTCAGGTAGTGTGTATAACGTTACAATGATCAACACACTTGTTTCAAGCAGTTTATTTTTAAACTATCGACTCTGTGTGCTGTCAGTGACAGCAGATGGTCGTCTCAGTTCCACAGCTCTTGAGGACACGGGAGGCTTTATAAGGCCCAGTGTAACAATTATTTTGAACAGTGTATCATGCAAAA